GGCTGGGGAATTCTGGGAGTTGAAGTCCACACGTCTTAAAGTCGCCAAGGTTGAGAACCCTGGTCTAGCCCATAAGCAGGAAACTGCTTTGATGTGCCTTACCCAGGGCCTGAGGAAATAAAGCAACGAGGTCAACTGACTGGCGGGGCTGAAATATTTGGGTTTCTTTTAGTTTTTCAGGGAGCAAAGGGTTAACAAGCGAAGCAGGTGTCCCTTTTTTAGAAGGTTTTCAGTGGTTTTTTAGGGGTGTAATGGTTGCTGAGTAGCTGCAAAGCTCAGGGACTCTCAGGCCGCTCAGAATTAATTCCCAAACAATCTGAAACTCAGACATGCCTGTCTGGGAATCTGCAGATGAGCTGCGTGCTGTCCTCAGCTCTGCCTTCTTGTCTTTCACGCTCAGCATCTTCACTCCAAGGTTTGCGACCCATTGAACTTTGCTAGAAAAGAACCCCGCGAGCGTGGGAAGGAGGAGGAAAAAGAACACAGGAGACACACCAGGGATATTAAATAACAATATTTAAAACATGTTACTATTTACAGAGTATGCAGACACAGAACATTCAGAATCAGTCCTTTGCATTCAAACTCGGCAAACGAGCAGGGGGAAAAAAAGGGGGCAAAAATCACTTTGTCGTGCACAGCCTGTCCCTGCTTCTCAGAGATGCCAACGTCTTCACTGGCAACGTCCCTCTGGTTTCCGTGGGCTGACCGCCAGACTTTGGAGTCTACATTCCCATGTGGCTGGGCTGGCATAAAGGGGAGCTCCTTACCGTCTGTTTGCCTGGTGCGTCTTTGGGATACTGCTGCCCCCTATTGGCAGTAGAGGGTGAGTGCAGCCTCCTGGTTCCCCCGGATGAAGACAACGGGTGGACGCAAGTCTTTGGAGACTGTCTCAAGCCAGGCCATGTAGAGGGAGCTGGGACAGGCTCCTTTACGTACCACTGGAAGGCTTCTAGAGAGTTAAAGAAAGGCAGAGAAGACGTTAGAGACCTGCTTTTAAGGGACAGGGAGGCCCCGTGTTACAAAATGTGGTGTCCGCTTTGCCCTACAGCAAGGATGGGCGTTGTCTGCAGTAGTGGTGACTTTCCTGAAGAAGACAGGAAATTTCTGCCGTTATCTGATGAACTTGACCTCTTAAACTAGGTCAGTGTTGGGCAGGCTCTGATACAAAGCCATGAGTTCCAAAAATGCTGTTGGAAAGCAAGCAAGCAACAATCTTACCGTGAAAATGATACTAAGAAGGATGGAAGGAGGACCCTTCCGTGTTCTAAGGTTGGGCAAAACAGCTTCTCAGCCTCCCCGTTTGCATGGCTCATCGCTGGCTCTTTGCACGACAACAGAATACTTAGAATATTTTCTCTGGCAATACTCTTTGTCCATGCTCAGAGGAAAAACCACTAATTCAGACCGTTAATTGCTGAAGATCTCAGTATTAACCTGAGAACCATTAATGAACATCTTTAAATCAATGGCCTCATTCACTTGATGGGAAACCTCAGCCGATGAGAGTCTTTGGGCTGGCCTGTGGACTGTTAATTGTAACTATTGAATCCCAAGTGATTATTTGATTGCCTTGTCTTAGCCTCAGATGTTCTTTAATAAACTGTTTCGATTGGGCTGGTTATTAATTATAGTTTCATTTTTGGACTACCCTACTGTTTAAGCCTGTTTTGCCACCTGTAATGTTTGGTACCGAAAGAAGCAACACTGAGGGATTGGCCACTGTTTGGTACAGCCTAGTTTTTAAAATTTGCTTGGTTGATTTGGTTTTTCTAAAGTAAAATACTTTGCTTATTTTCCCCAAACCTGCTGTCAAATTTGGGGAGGGGGGGTGTTTATTTATTTTTCTGGCAGGCGAGGGTGTGTGCCCCGGGGCAATTACACAGTAAGTATACAACCTTCTAAATTATGCATGGAAGAAGTTTATGGCCACCAAAAAGGGGGAAAAAAAGCGAATCAGATCTGTTTTCATAGCTGGGCATGTAGTTTATTTTTATTTTTGTGCCTAAGGAATTTTAATTGTCTAGCAAAAAAAAAAGAACAGGAAACTAAGGCCTGAAACACCTGTACTTTGGAACTGTTAATTACACACAATGAGCTTTGGAGATTTCCTGTTCCCAAGCTTATTGATGATGGCCATGGGGATTAAAAGTGTGTCCTCAGGAAGCTGCATTTTCTGACTCTTGAATTTTCTATCCAATACTCTGTGTGTAAAGCTGAAATGCAGATGATCCTATAGCAAAATGTATGCAGACATCTCCTGCCTTTACTTCAGGAGCTTATGTTACTGTACGTTGTACTCCCTTCTCAACCTTTTCTTCACAACAACCCTGAAAGGTAGGATGAAAGAGAGGGACAGAGTCCCCTAGGGAGCTTCTGAGTCTGAAGGTAGACTAGAACCTAAATCTCTTTGCTCCTAGTCCAACACCTTAACCACTATACCGCACTGGCACTCAAATCGCACCCCGTTCCTTGCATGCACTCTCTTCAGGCGACAGGGATCAACAAGCCAGTGCCTTAATAACTCCAGCCTTGTGACTCATCTGCTACCACGAATTTATTCCCAAAGGAAGGGGTGCATCATTGTCTAGGTAAAAACGCTACAACCATTAGGGATGCTGACTGCTCTGAGAAAGAGGGAGCAACTCACATGACGATGAGGGCTGCATTGTGGGAGTGATCTTGTAGAACCTCATGAAGACGCATGTGCTGTTCAGACTAGACAGTCCACATAGGTGGGGGAAAAAAAGAGAGAGAGAGATGTTTTCAGTGGGTTTTCGTTTCTTCCCTTTTGCACTCATTTAACCCTCTTAGGTCCAGCTCAGGTGGAAGTGTCTAGTTGACCTGGGCTGATCTTGAAAAAAGTTAAGCGAGATTTGTTAGTGTGGATGGGAGACCACCAGGAGATCACAGGGGTCTAGATTAAAGGGGGAAGTGGAAAAACCATTCATAAGAATGCATCTGGGAAGTCACCAGGAGCTGAGTCTCACTTGAGGGAACTTTTACCTCTGTGGCTAACTCGCTAATGTGCAGAACTACGGTGAGAAGTGAGCTTGTAATTAAGAAAACCCACAGAAACAGGCAGCCATGAATTCTTCCAGCTTCTTAGAATCCCAGGGGAAGCTTAAACGATGCATAAAAGTTGCCAACTTTCCTCCCACTGCTGAACTCAAGCGATACCTGCTGGATCTAACCTTAGAAAGTAAGAGTCATTTATTAATAACCGCACCTGCTTTTTACTGCACCTTGCAAAACCTTTAGGCTACTAAAGAAGTCACTAAGATAGCAATCGTAGCAGAATTAGAAGAAGGTGACTTCCAGATTTGGGTGTGTGTGTATGTGTGTGTGTTTGAGATCAGTTTGTTTCAAACTGATTTTTCCTGTGTGATCCTGCTGAGCCATCCCTTCAGCTGAGTCTTCCTCCGGAAAAACCATATTGAAAACATACTGAACGGAATAAAGGCAGAAAAAAGGCAGTCTTTAGCCCAATTCCATAATGATTCCTGCGCACTCCTCCGTGTGGGCTCTGCCATGCTTTTTCTCATTGAATGCAAAGTTCTGGCAGGCAGCCAGGTGGTTTTTTCACAGTGTGAACCTAGATGAGGAAGAGGTATTTTTGGATGTCCTGCTAAATGCACAGATTTCAATTTGATGCTTGTTTCCTGTTTCACAGGGAAAAGTCAGGGGAATGTGTTGGGTGACCCCTTTTTCCCTTCTGTCCATTCATTTTGAAGGCTCAGGTGAGGTTAATTCATTGCACGTGCTTTGCTTGATGAATTAAAGCAGCATTTGAACCACAATCACAGAGTCCCAGTGGGAAAAAACCCCCATAATCATTGCTATAGTTAGAAGAATTGCTCTTCTCCTGTGCTGAATGCCTTTTGCAGGTTTTATACGTCCTTATAAATAACTTATAAGTAACTTTTAACCTAGAAGTAACATTTACAAAATCCATCTAATTAATCAGGGCACTTTTCTAAACTCAGTCAACAATCTGTTAAGGATCAACCACATTCATATTTAGCAATGGTTTTTTTAAAAAAAAAATCGGGAGCATGATAGACAGTAGGCTGGAGAAAAGAAACATTCCTTCTTTTTAAAACCTTCTCTTGTCTCTTCACTATCGCCCTCAGGAAATACAGGCCCTGATGTTCTCACCTTTTTCTTGTAGATTCTGAGGTCTTCACTGGTGACTTTCCATGGCATTTCCTTCTTCACTGCTTCTACAGTTTCAGTATCTTTTTGGCCCTCGTTGAGACGATATGGAGCTATAAGGTCCTCAAATTCTTTGCAACTGCCATGGAGAAGGGAGGGGGAGAAGATGTCATATGAAAAGGGAGGGAGGGAAGGAATGGCAGAGAAAATTTGGAGGATGGGAATCTCACTGTTTAGGGAACTGAGATATCAGATGGAAAAAGAACCGTTGCACATCCCTCAAGAAATGATGCTGGGCTTTAAATACCCAATTGCGCCCTCTCCAAAAGAAAATAATTAATTTTGAAAATGTCAAAACACGTGGGAGGTGTGCCTGCTCAGCTTCCCACGTGAACGAATTCTGCTATCCAACCCCACACAAGTATTCTGTAGGTCTGAAATCAAGTTTTTCAGTCAAATCTCTCATAAACTAATTAAACCCAACATTGTAATCTGAGAGGTGAGGGGAAATAATGGGTTGCAATTGGGGTCGGTGGTGTGGATTTAAGAGGGTTCACCTAAGAAAGAGATCTTCAAATAATCTATCCCAGAAATTTTAATGCCATGCTAAGTTCACAGAGAGTGCATCTGCTTTATCATTGCAGTTTGCTATGTTCTTATGAAACATCATTAGCCTGTTCTCCGGCCTGCTCCCTCCTTTCCTGGTTAAGTCGCAGCCCCAAATTGCAGAATAGGCCACCATTGCCCACCAGTTCTCTGGGTCTGTCACTGGCTCCACCATCAAACTGTTCTTACTGTTTGATCCATTTTACTAACATCCAATCAGAATCCATTATTCTGTGTCCTTCACTGGAGAATGACAGAGAACAGGTCTTGATTTCTCCAGTGTGACACCTTTTCAGGTATTTGAAAATTGTTTTCATTCCGCCTCACTCTTCTCTTCTCAAAACTAAACAGCTCCTTCCATCTCTCCTCAGAGGTCTTAGTTTCTAGTCTCCTGGTCAACTTTGTTGCCTTTCTCTGAACCTGTTCCTGTTCCCCTCCATCCTTCATAAGATGTAGAACTTGACTCAGTACTTGAGGAGTGTCTGGTTAATGTAGAAGAGAGTGAAACAATTCTTTCCAGTGAATTGGAAATGATTTCTGTGTTGTATACATAAAGTGGACAACTCGTTGTTGACAATATTTCCAATTAGCTGGAGATCCCCGATGGGGATAGAATTACAAAGATGTATTCGTTTGAGACAAGGGACCTGGATTAGGGAGCCAAGGGCTCAGGAACAATAACTGAGGATAAATCCCAGGACATTTACCTTGTCTCCTCTGGTTTCCACATTATTTCAGGCAGCACCACAACCTCGTTGAAGCCCAGGCGGAATTTGTCCAATAGAAACCTGATCCTGTTGAGGAAAAAGAGAAGAAAAATACAGTTTCCTCCTGGCACATCCATGATTGAAGATGCCATTAACAAAAGGAATGGGACAGGCCTTTCAAAGCAAAGTCAACACTGTCCAATTGCTGCATGCTTTGGGGACATTCTAAAACAAAGTGCTATCTTTCAGGAACAAAATGTTTCCCATTTATGATCTTCCTAAGCAAACTCTGGTTAGCTGCCAAGGAAACCTACCCAGCCCCTTACTGGAATTGCTTAACTCTGGATTTTAATCTCATCCCCAACCCCATCACTGCCCTATCTCCCTTACTCTTCTCTGTGTTCCTCGGCGTTAGAGATCTGCCCACTGATGAAGACTCGGACTTTGCACTGCCTCCAGCATTTCCGGCGGGTCAGGAGATAGGGGATGAGGAGGGTCAGCCCTGCAGAGCGAGGAGGAAAAAAGTCCAGAGACCAGCTGCACAATATGGTGGGAACGACATCCTATCTTGCAAGCAGACCATTGCTCCTTCCAGCTGCATTGGGAAGGCAACTCTCCCAGCATTTCCCAACCGGTTGAAGTCCCAGTTCAGTAAGGCAAATGGGCCCCGTTGTCATCTGGGAGCACCCCTTTGGCCTGGATGGAGGGCTTGCCCATGAGAACCAATGAGAAGATTGAAGGAAAAGAATGTTATCTCCTAAGCACGCTCTCTCACAATTGCTGAGGAATGGGTAAAGCCTGGTGAATCATAGGCATATGAATCACCCTATATGTGTATATATATTCAGTATAGTATATAATAAACATATATGCAAACTGTAAAGTATCTGTATGTTTGTGGGAGTATACCAACACACATTATATACAATTATAAAGTGTGTGTGTGGGGGGGGCTATGCACACACAAACATATATATCTATAGATTCATTCATTCATCTGGAGAAGGTCAATCTGCAATCGTGAAGAGTTAACACCAACTTGATGGCACATTATCCATCCATCATCTATCTGTCTGTCTGTCTGTCCGTCCATCCATCCATGAAATTATAAATGCATATATTATGTGTGTATCAATGTTAATGATATATGTAATAAAAGAAAGACAATTACTGAGCCATAAAGAGCCATGAGGAAAATGTGTCTTTGTGGCTCCCCCATCTGTGTCCAACCCTTGCCCCTATTCACAGACACACACTTGCTATAAATGTGTCCTTCCAGTTTTGCAAGAGAAGAAAGTCAGTTAAGTTGATCATGGTATCGTGGTCCCCATTTTATTTCCAGGCTATTCAGGTCTTTTGGCCATAAACAACAACAACAAAACCTATTATTATTACTATCTGCTGTTGTTGTTGGTCACACAGTCAGCCAGTTGTTTAG